TTTTTTACTTCTTACGTAGTAGTAGTACGTTACCTTACGTTACTTCGTACTTACTTAGTAGTCGTGACTACTCTACTGTATTGTCTCGTCTCTCTCGTTGTTCTCTCTCTCTCTCTCTCTCTCTCTCTCTCTCTCTCTCTCATTGAAGAGAAAAATGGAATTCGGGAAGGACCCTGTAAGTCTTCCCCATCAATAAAAAGGATTTCCTCAAGTCCCCCAGTTTCTCATCAGAATGCTTAATTTTTCATTTTTCTGTACTGTTCATGATTCTATCAGCTTTAGCTCATTCACTCCTTATAATACCTTAGTTCATTTCTATAACAGAAAAAAGGAACCCATACAGCTTTTCAGCTAATCAGGAGGGTCTATTGGATAGCTCATCAGATGGGGACTCTGAATTCTGCACCGCTTGTGATGGGTACGACTCATTGAGTGACACTTATACTGATCCCCTTTGTCCTCTTTGGGATTCAGATAGTTTTTATGATGATAATAGAATAGTTGGCCTCAAAGAGCCGATGCCAAATGAGAACTTTCTTGTTCCCCAAGATATTATGAGCCACCCAAGTGAGGATAAATTTGTAACTGTTGAAAAGATTGAAAGTTCCGAGCCTTGTCGAAATGAATGCAAGAATTCAGCCTCTTCTCTCTCTAATCACAGAAACCATACAAGGATGGCAATTCACTCTTTGCATGCCGACTTGGTCGAACCAGAAGCATGTGAGAATGGTTTCTTTGGAGAAGGTCTGGAAGACAACTCGATAAGGGAACACAGAGGTTGGTGTTTCTCTGTTCATGATGAATGTGAAATGGACCCAGGACTTGACCCTGCTATTGAAGGATACAGATGTTCTGTCCCGCTCTGTGGATGTTGCAATGGAATAGAGGAAATATGTGGTGACATGTCTGAAGTTCTGGAGTATGACCTCACAGAAAAGGAGTCTGTTAATGAAGATTTGGATAAAAGCCATGAAGGAATTGTGGTACCCCCCTTCGAGGACTCATTGCAGAAGCCATATCCATCTTCGACTGTAAGGAGCTCAAGTACAAGTAAGGGTTAAACTTTCAGGGTAAAATATTTGATTTTGAGGAAAACTCATGTTTTTCCTTACACCTTTGGTTGCTGTTCTTATCTCCCACAGTAATATTTTTAGGGTTAGGTTATTATAATCCAATAAACTGCGATGGAATGATTGTCTATTGTTATCATTATTTTATGATGGAATGATGGACAGTGATGGAGAAAGAATGATCCATCGAGATGGGACATAAACCCAAGGGTGGGCCTTGCCCTCTCTCGATCATCATTCATCCATTTTCATCGGATAGTGATAATCCAAACCAACTGGGTTTCAGTAGTTATATTGTGCTTTTCTTTGATGTGTCATTTGTTTGTGCGGGCTTATGACTTGTGGTTTGCCCATGGGTGAACTTCATACTTCTACCCATAAGGTAGCCAAAATTCGAAGCGATCTCTTAGGAATATTGTGAAGACGGGAATTGATGATGAGGCCTTCTCTCAAGAAATGGTGAGAATGTGTCATGATCCTGGTACTATTGGGGACATTATGGAGGAAACTACAGCTGACATTTTTCAAGAGCCTGGAAATCCTAGTGATGAATATGAAATATTTAATCTGAGGATTATACACCGGAAAAACAGGTTTAGTTGAAGTCTTCCTTTCTTGTTAGGTTTTTTTATGGATAATGTACTCTGGTCCAATGGACTACGTAAAAAGATAGTCCATTGGTATCATCACTGCCAATGAGAGTGGGGCCCACCATTGGGTTCATGCTACCGAATGGCATGATGAGCAGTGATGGACAGAGGAGGACACACCATTGGAGTCATGTCGTATTCTGATGGGTCCCACTTTCTCTCCACTGTCCATCATTTCATTGGCTGGTGATCCATAGTATATTGCACTACAGCATACTTTCCCTTAATTTTTGTGAAAGGAATAGCTTCTTTTTTTTTATATTTTATGTATGGTACTTCACAGGACTGGATTTGAAGAGAGCAAAGATTTCCCCATTGTTTTGAATACACTAATAGCTGGTAGATATTATGTGACTGAGTACCTTGGTTCAGCTGCTTTCAGCAAAGTTGTTCAGGCACAAGATCTCCAGAGTGGAATGGATGTCTGTGTGAAAATAATAAAAAATGACAAGGATTATTTTGATCAAAGTTTGGATGAAATTAAACTCCTTAAATTTGTCAACAAACATGATCCTGCTGATAGATACCACATACTGCGGCTGTATGATTATTTTTACTGTCAGGTATGTGTACTGGTCGATTTCATATGAGTTATAATTTGACAATTAAATGATCATTTGATGCGAAACTTTGACGATCTTCATAATAATTGATATCATTTTTCCTGCCAAATTGTTGGTCTTTGTGATAGTATTTTCATCTATATATCAGATCATTGCAATCATAGCCACCATCGCTGACAGCGAAAAATATGTATATCTCTGTATTTTTTGTTTCATCTTTGAGTTAGTAAATTGCATGGATCCATCTTTTTTCCAAAGTTAGTCACCATCAACATTACCATTATTTCGACTACCAAAAATATTACACAATTCTGGTTGTTTTCATCATTCCTATTATTCCACTAATCATGGGATGTTCAATTCTCAAAGCATGGTTTTTTTTTGTTCTTAAGTGAAATTCTAGGTGATTTTTAGATCCTCTCAAGTTTCTTCCAATGTGTGATGTGGTGCGAGGCGCTTGGGGGGGTCTGATGTGCTCTGTGCCTCGATGCTGCCACAATGTAGGGCATCACTTCCAATGCAGCAATAAAAGAAGTTATAAGAATACAAGGGATAACAATATCATCAAACATATCCAAACATATACTATAAATTTTAAATTTGCATTATTAATCAGAAACATAGCGAAACATAGAGTAATATTTTCAATTTTGGATTATAAATTAGAAACAAAGCCAAATGCAGCCAAAAATATTAATTTTGCTTGATAAATTATAAATGCAGCCAAACATAGAGTAATTTCCAATGCAGCAATAAAAGAGGTTATAAGAATACAAGGAATAATAATATGATTAAAAATATCAAAAAATATACTATAAAATTTAAATTTGCATTATTAATCAGAAACATAGCCAAACATGGAGTAATATTTTCAAATTTGCATTATAAATTAGAAAAAAAGCCAAATGCAGCCAAAAATATTAATTTTGCATGATAAATTATAAATGCAGCCAAACATAGAGTAATTGTCAAATTTGCATTATAAATTAGAATAAAGCCAAGCATAGCCAAAAATATATTATAAATTTTCAATTTTTCATTAAAAATTAGAAATATAGTTGAACATAGAGTGATATTTTCAAACTTGCATTATAAATTAGAAACAAAGCCAAGGATTTGGGCTTGAGTTAAGGTGGTAGCATTTGGGTTTTCATAACGTCACGTCTTAAGATCCACTCCAGTGTAACCTTGTCAAAAAAATAAAATAGAAACAAAGCCAAACATGTTAAAAAATATATTATAAATTTTCAAATTTACATTATAAAATTAGAACATAGCCAAAAATATAATTCTAATCACAAAAAAACAAAAAACCCTTGAAAAAAAATACTCATGAAGTTTCATCATAATCATAAAGCTAAAACTTAAAAAATAAACACAAGAGAATGATAAAAAAATATAACATAATACTTAGAAAAAATATGAAACCTTAAACAAAAAAATTAATTTTACTAACATTTTGAAAACAATCAAAGGAGGCTTGAATCAGTCACTTATGCTTTCCAAAGCTGTCTTTTGCAACCACTATTTAATCCTTTAAAAGTTCCAGGTCGAATACTTTTCAACCTAGCAATAAATAGAAATCTTCAAATATGAATTTGATCCTTAAAAGAAATCAATTTTGAGCTAAGAAAAATGTTTTTTGGGCCCAACTAGAGTTTTATAGGGTTTTGGGGGGTCAAAATCCCCCACCTCTCGCCCCCAAAAAAAAAAAACTATTTCCAGCCTTTTAAAGGGGAAATTATATTTTTTGCCTTATGACTAGGAAATTTCCACCCTGGCCAAAGGGCTCTAGGCAGGTGCCTGCCCAGACAGTGCCCTGGGCAACGAGTTGGCCTTCCAGGGTCATTGCCCTGCACTGGGCCGCATTGGCGCCCAGTGCGGGACAGTGGGGCCTCCCAGCATCCTAGCGACCCGCCCAGGTGGCTGGCGGCCGACTTTTTGAACTATGATCCAATCCATTAATCAAAGTCTTTAATACATAAGAATGTGTCAATACATCAAGCACTTAAGTAAGAAGTCACAGCTTGATATTATTGGAAGAAATTAGCATCTGTGGCATATAGTCTTTTTGTTGCTAAATTAAATACTTCGTACATTGGGAGTCCAGTATGGCCAAAAGTTGAAGACCAGAAGACAATGGCATAAACAACAAAAAGTCAACTGGACTTAGTGCGACTCCATGTCATATGCATATGAAGCTCGTATGTCACTTGCATCCAAAGCCAAGTCATCATCTGTGTCATCACCCCCCTATCTACATATTCTTCTTCCTCATTAGTCTTCTCTGTGTCTGCCTACTCCTCCTCAATCTCAGGAATTGATTTAGGTCTGGGCCCAACTCTCTTCCTTTGTAGTCCAGTATTAGGCCTTGTGTTTTTGACAGCCCCTAAAGCTGTGAGACATCCAACCAAGTTAAGTCTTCAGCCTCGAACTCCCACTCTACTTTGTGGTCTATGATCCATTCACCTCTGCCATGAAGTTCGTCCAAGACAATCACGTCAATGTTTTTGCGTGTCTAATACCTCTTCTTAGATCATTCATTGCTTCAGAGATATATCAGATCATTTGAAATCTTTTGCCATAACATGTTCCTTCTTTTGCTATGGAGCTATGATGTAAACAAAACAAACAAGCAAAAGTAAAAAATATTACTGATCCAATGCCTAGTAGATTTCTACAATCTTGATTTCAGAATATGAAGCATAACAAGACTTACATGCGAAATGTGCTCTAGTTGCGCTCACAATTGGATGAACTATATGTGAGGCTGAACTTGGATTGCGAGATGTTGTAGATGCGGTATCTCACTCCCATTAGATGCCCACCCTTGGCTGAATTCTTAATAATTTAATACAAGTCAATCAAACTAAAAGCTAACAATTTTTTCAATGTGTATTCATAATGTATAGATTTGGTGACCTAGTTGTTTGCTATCCTTATTCCAGATTTCATTTTCTTGTTCAAAGTCCCCTATTTCTCTCTTAGTTTCATTGACTCATTACTTTGGACTCCATCTTGTATATTGTTGTCAGGGACCATTGTCACAAGAACAGCTAAGAAGCCTCTGTTGATTGCACGATCTGATTAATAGCTGGCTGTTTGTAGTGAAGGGATGGATTCGGAATGTACTAAGCTACATGGAGGTGTTAATAAAGCTGTATGCCCCATCTTATAACTAAAGGCTCATTCATGGGCATGTATCTGGTTTTACTTATTAGGAACCAAGTTGATGTCTGCTTCCAGTCGAATCGTTGATTCATGTATATGGTCCATGGCGCGCGTCACATCATGATCGACAAACCTTAACACTTCCACTAAAGGACAAGAAATGTCCAATATAATCTGCATTGCCCCAAAAAATGTGTTTAACACAATGTACTTTTGGACCGAATTGGCCTGTTCAAACTCGGAATCAACGAATCTGTCCTCCAACCATCGGTTGGGGGGAGCACTAAAGAGGTCAAAAGCCAGTCAAGACCATTCTGAACTAGCTTGTTTAGCCAGTTCAGAGCGATTTTGATGAAATTTCTTAACTTTTTATACTTTTGTTTATAATTTTCAGCTCGATCTGGCTGGTGAACCGCTGGTTTAACTGGTTTGGACTAAACCTGTGCCTTACCGGTTTGCTGATGTGCCCAGTCTTGATAACATTGCTTTGGATAGTGAGATATGTTATAGTAAATCTAGCTCTCTTCTTCTTAAACTCTCTCATAATGTGCTTTGTCTTCAATGTCAATAGAAGAAGAGAGCTAGATTTACCATAACTTTTTCTTTTTTAATGATCCAATTGAGAAGACACTTGGAGTATAATTTGTAGAGTAATTTTAGACTACCGAACTCTGAAATATGAAACTAAATATTTAATTCTCCTTCAATCTCAAAGGATTGTATTTCATGTGCTGCAACTAGTGAATTTTCTTCTTCATACTTGTCAACATCTTTAGAACTGAGAATTACCTCTTCATGTTCTTTTTCATCTTCTCTCGATTGTAATCTATGAAATAGATGCTGTAGACCTTGTTCTACTACTTTGCTAATACGCTCTACTAGGTCTTCTTTGAGTATCCAAATATTTGTTCTAAGCTCTCCATAACTGATCAGTAGGATAACCTGGCTATGATACCAACTGATGCAGGGAGAAAATAATAATCAGAATAATAAAAAATAAAATGAAATGGGTTGAAAGAATATACCCTCTCCCAAGGTCTGCAAGAGAATCCACCCGAAAATATCTTTTCACAATATCAACACTTTATTGAATCACCAAATTCTCGGACATCTCCCCTTTTAAATGGGAAAAATAAATAAATAAAAAACCCACAAAAAATTATCTCTCTCTCTCTAAAACTAATGTAAATCTCTACCTCCCTATTTTCTCTCACATGAAGCCTCGATATCTCTTCCTTATCTTCCTATTTTCTCTCGCATATCCCTTCCCAAATCCCTAAAAGATTAGCTCCTAATCTATTCCACAAAAGCCTCCTAAAAGAACGACTTATACCAAACTTAAGATTTATCTTTTTAAAACTAACTAACTCAATTGCTACCCTATCATCAAAATAACTCACGCACCAAAATACTCCCACTTAACAACTCACACACCAAAATCCTTCCTCCTCCCACTTAACAACTCGTGCACCAAAATCGTTCCTTATCCTAGCATACTTCCTATATCTCCTACCTTATCCTAGCATACTTCCTATTCCTAAGAAAAATAAACAAAAATAATAATTACACTAAAATTTTGAATTTTCCTAATCTCTTTCTGCATCATTCACTTCTAACTTCATCAACATGTTCATCTTCATCAACAAATATTCAGATGTTATCTAACAATTCTTGATACTTCATTACTATCTTTTCTTTTGTATGTTTAGTCTCTCTTGTAATTTTCTCAATCACTTTTAGCCATGCCCTTACATCCTCAAAATATGGCAAGGTGTTCTTTTGTCAAATTTCCTAAGTATAAGTTTCTTGTCAAAGTGTACAATAAATGTTATTTCAATCTCTAGGGTTTGGAAGTGTAACATATTTTCATACAGGATAGTTGTCAAATGAAGAAGATGAAGATATTAGAAAAGAAGATGAGGCTTATTGCAAAAATTGGTTTTGTTCTCACTATTTAACCCAAGTCAATGTGATTTTGGTTTCTTTGTTTACTTTGCTTTAAAGTTGAAACCCGCGATCATATGCACCTGAAGTGAGAGCATGAAATCAACTCAAGGTATCAGTGTGGTGTGTCTCGGTGCCTTAAGGGGAGCCAAGGCTCCCCAATGCCCTAGGCATGTTGCCTAGGGGAAGGTGGTTGGCTAAGTTGGGGCCCAACACTAGGTGCCCACCTTTTGGGCTAGGCACGATCTATAAGGTCGTCTAGTGTCTTGGCCCGTCTTTTGGGCTGAGGCTGTTGCCTGAGCAGAAAATGGCCCTCCTAGGCAGGGCATTCTAAATCTTTTTCTCCCCCTAAAAGGGGGGAAAGGGTTTTCGGGGGTATTTTTTTTTTTTTGAGAATGAAGCTGATACCCCTAAAAAATCTCTTGTGCTTTACTTTAAGAAAGAACCAAATAAAAAATGAGATTGTTGAGATTTCATTAGGCTGCTAGAAGCACATTAACCCTATGCGGGCCACTAGATTCAAATCTAGAAGGAAGCACAGGGGAAGAGTAATGGAAGAGGATGATGAGGAGGAGGCTGACTCTGAGTAGACTGAGGAAGAATTGCAATATGTCGGGAAGGGGGATGACCAATGATGATGGCTAGGCATGATCAGAGTCATATTCATATGCAGCTGGTGGAGATGGAGATGTTGGAGTTTCCAATGCTGGTGGTGCTGGTGGTGATGATGATGATGATGATGATGATGATGATGATTATGATGAAATTCAATTTGCAATTTGTGTTAATCAGACTTTTATCTAGCTTTGATGTTTTTTAGCTTTCAAGCCTTTGAGTTTTGACTTTTCTGACTTTCTAGTATATGATAGTCCATGCGGATTGTGGGTTATGGACAGAGTACAGTCTATGGCATAGTGGCATATAATGACAGATTGACAGTAATGTGATATTGTAACTATTTAATGATCCACACAATTCTGTATGATTGAGTCTTAACTATTAATTGTTAACTTATTGTATTTCAAGTTCAAATTCAAGTTGTTAGATTTCAGTAATTCAAGTTTCAAACTCATATATGCATGAGCTTCAAATAGCAAAATACGATAAAGCACACAAAAAACCATTAAACTAGGTTTTATTATTATTATTATTTATTGCATAAGTTTAATTAGGGGATTTTTAATTAGGGGATTTGGTATCCAACCCAAACCACCCCCCTCTCCCCAACATGCACTCTCACTCACACACACACACACACACACACACATATGCACAAAGAAGAAAGAAACCTTGAGACCCCAAACCACATGCTTTTATCTCTGTTTAGGGCCAGTTGGAAGACAAGGTACCCTGCTAGGTAATCAGGACCCCTAGCACCTAGGCGACCGACTCCAAATTTTAAAGTAGTTGGAGATATTGCCAGAAAAATTTATGAGTTTGCTGAAAAGATCCATCAAAAAAAGATAATATTTTGAATCTTTGATTTAATCCCGCAAAGAACGTTTGGTTTCAGGGAGTTTATATAACCTGGAAGCTCCATTATGTAAAGATCCCAGAATACCCAACTATATGGTTTATTGTCTACATTTGGCCTGGAAGCTCCATTATGTAAAGATCCCAGAATACCCAACTATATGGTTTATTGTCTACATTTGGCCTAGCATGATCATGACTGTGTACCTGCAAGTAGTTGTTGTAGTGACTGATGAGAATAAGGATGCTTTGGTCAATTTTTCCTAGCAATACGTAGGGTACATCACTCAGATCTTGGAAGTGGGATCAACAGTGGCTAAAGAGAGGATATTTTTCTTAATTAGAAATTGCCTTGGAAATCTTAAGTATGCATGCATTTTATGAGCTTTTCCTATATTCCAAATTCAAAGACTGAGTTGAAATGCTTATATTTTATTATGTTAGTGCTCGATTGTGATTGTTTTAACACAAAGTTGCTGAATTATCTGCAGGAGCATCTCTTCATTGTATCTGAACTTCTCCGTGCAAATTTATTTGAATTTCAAAAATTTAATCTCGATTCTGGTGAAGACCCTTATTTTACATTGCCAAGGCTGCAGGTTTGCTTTCTTATAGGAGTGTATTTTAACTGGGAATTGTGCATATAAATCCATCATTCCATATTAGCTTGTAACATTTGCAATTGTTTGAGGGCATAATTTACTTTCCGTTTCATTCTTGTGATTGTGATAGTGAGTCCTTGTTAAATAGTTGACACTACACAATTAATAGGATCAATGTTATGTGCATATAAAGTGATATTTATGCATTTACCCCATATGGTTTTCACAGAGAATTTGTGGTATTCCCTTCTTTCAGGCCATAACTCGGCAGTGTTTGGAGGCTCTAGAGTTCTTGCATCATTTAGGAATTATTCATTGTGATTTAAAGCCTGAGAACATTCTTATGAAAAGTTATAGCAGATGCGAGGTGAAAGTGATCGATCTGGGGAGCAGTTGCTTTGAAACAGACAACTTGTGCTTGTATGTGCAGTCTCGTTCCTATCGGGCTCCTGAGGTTATCCTAGGCGTTCCATATGATCAGAAGATTGACTTATGGTCACTTGGTTGTATATTGGCAGAGCTTTCCTCGGGAGATGTAAGCTCCTATCTAACTTGATACTTTGTTTCTTCTTGATTTGTCTATAATGGTAACATAGTTAGCTGAGCATGCACTAAGGTAATTTAACAGCGTAAACTGTATATGCACTGAGGCTAAGAATTAGATATTCCTAGTCCATCCAGATTAGTCATGTGTTCGAGCATTAATTTTATCTACCATTGTTTTTCTTCAATTCTCTCTTCAATGCACTGTCATAGCTGGCTATTTCTAAAGAATATAAATTGTTTGAATAATTTTCATTCCCTTCACTTCTCATAGAAACTTATGGTATTAATTTGATCATTAGATGGGTTGGTTGAAAATTCATAGTCTATATATATCCTAGGATCAGTGTTGACATTCTTAAAACCATCACCTTATATATGAAGAGCGATGAATGTGAAGCTGAATTAAAAGGAAGGTACTATTGTGATGTACCTTCATATGCTGAGGACCAAACTGGTCCACAGTTATAGAAACATGACTTAAAATGGTCTCACTACCTACTAGTTTTCTTGAATTTCAGAATTTGGTTTTCTGGTGTTGCCTACATTTATATGGAACGATTTTCTGGCTTTGCCTACCCGAAGTGATTCGGAAATCGAATCAATTTAGAAATCAGAAGCAGGTTATCGCCTCCAATTGGAAGATTATTGTTTTCGGATCGATGTCTATACAAGAGGAATTGTGGGGTACTAGATTCCTAACTTTAGGAATCAAGATTCGACCAATATATAATCGAGACCCCTACATAGATGGAATCTAGATTCCTAGCTCTTTGGAATCGAGTTTCCGACCTAATTGGAATCGACCAATATCGAATCGAGATTCCTTCATTTATGGAATCGAGATTCCTTCATTTATGGAATCGAGATTCTTTCATTTATGGAATCGAGATTCCAACGTCTTTGGAGTTGAGAGGGAACTGAGAGGGAAACAATACATGTCTCAATGTGATGCATTGATCGACATGCTATACATGCACATTTACATTATTCATATTACATTATTTCTAATATCTTGAAGTTGCATTCTCTCAATTGGATCGATACAATGCATACGTAAAGAATTAAGTAGAGAACGTGGACCACCACTTTGGGTTTTATTGGTCATTTTATACCAAAAAAGATGACTACACCTTGTAGCTTGAGATTTAGTGTCTAGCTCGAGTAGTTTGATGCCTTGAAAACTTCTAAACATTACTTCTCAATGTAGAAACCAATTTCAACAACTGTAGAATCAGGATTCATCAATTGCAGAATCGAGAATCATTAAATATTGGAAATGAGATTCTGTAAGTCTTGGAATCAAGATTCCTAAAGCAATGAATCGAGATTTTAGACTTCAAGGAAACATGTTTTGTGAAGATTCCTAGTTAGAATCGTCGAATTGTCTTAATCGAAATCGTGACCTTCGGTGAGAGATTCGGGTAACCATGTGCCTAGGCCATATACATGCAATACCCGGAACTTGTATTACCTATAATTACCTAAATCGCATATGAAGGTCGTAATTTCAGTTCGGAATCGTGATTCGGCAGTTCCAAGGATGAAACACGAATTTAGAAGATTGGAATCATGTTCTGCAGTTTCATGGAACGCATTCCTGATTATTATCTAACTCTCAATTCTTGGAAGATTGGAATCTAGATTCCATATAATAGAATGTACGATTCATAGTTGCACAACAATGCAATTCAAGATGTGCAAGACATTGATTCTAACTTTTTAGGAATCGTGAATCCATGTTGTTTGGAAGCGAGTTCCACGTCATCAGAAGGCACGGTTCTTAAATGCACACGAACTATATTTTGATTAACATTGAACCAAGTTCTAATGACACTGAATCAAGTTTTAATGAAACGGAATCAAGATTCAAAAGCAAATGTTGAATGAAATATGTTCACAAATTGTATGTTCCAGGTGGAGCTCTAGGAACTGATTCTATGTTACCGGAGTAGTTCTAAGAACGTTTTCTTTCATGTTACAATTTTGTACAAGGTTAAATACTCATGATTTGGGTTTCAAGATTGTGACGTTGTGAGAGCCAAAAAGCCTTAATAGACTTTCGAGATGAATCCATGAACAATAATATTTGCCAAGTTGCCCAATAGATTTATCAGTCTATAAGTCAGAAGTGGGCGTCGGTCCCACCTTAAGGTAAGATGTTTGGGTGGCAACCCCACCTCAAGTTAAGACATTCATATAGGATGCTTGCAATAACCAAATGCTTGTTATGGATCATTTATTGTACTTATTGACGATCATCTACAGTACTAAATAAATTTTTTATCATTTGTTGTCTCATTGTATATCAGGTGGGACATGGACTAGAACCCTAAAAGAAAAAAAAGAAATGGGTTAATTGTGATCGAAATTCATGGTCACTTGCGGACTTTGGATTTTGAGGAAAATGCAACATCATGGTCTTTCACGCTAATACTAAGCTATGGTATCATCTATGGTATATGCTTGGTTTTAATAGCTGTTTGGGTCAAGCAATGGTATCATGTATGTGTATCCCAAATCATCTATGTAAAACTTTAAATCTTTTATCATAAAATACTTCTCTCCTATACCGGAGGGGTTGGGTGCACGATTCCTGAACTATGGGAACCTCGATTCCCAATCAATGGGGACAATGATTCTAGTAATGTAAGAATCACGATTCCCATTTCATTGGATCGCGATACCGGAAGTCATTGAATTGTGTGGGGTTATGGGCAATTCTTGAAAGATAGGAGACTCGATTCCAACATGATAGGATACTAATTCCTACAAATAAGAATCATGGTTGTTATTTTATTGGATTGCGATTTCAATTATTAAAATTACACCTCTGATGGTTTTCATTGTATGGACAGCAATTTCGAGATTAGGAATCATCTGGCACATGCAATTTCGTGATTCCGATTCTTGAAACGAATCATAATCACTGGTGTTTCCAACAACTATAGTATTGCCTCATGGCCCTCACCTCATCCACCACTTTTTGATTGGGTGAGAGACCCAAAAAACTTTAAAATAGCCTTCTAATTGCGTTTTTCAATATAATTTTCAATATGGAACTGCAAAAAATCTCTAGGCCACCATATATCAAGTGGACTGTTGCAATTTAATGTTTCGGCAGTCATAGATTTTGAACATCTTTTAGGGTTTCAACTCATTATTTTTTGGAGCAGACTATTCTGAGAGTAGAATTCGGTTTGACGCTTTTATGGGTGACACGACAAGCGTTTTTGGTGTTTAGGCATGCCTCTGTTTGTTCACACATATGGAAAAGGATTAGATGCACTTTTCAGCAAATTTTTATAGTATTATCTCATTGGCAAAAAACTCCTAAAAAGACCTATTTCTGGAGATTTATTTGAACCCAAATTTTGTAGAAAGTGTTGGAAATTAGCAGAAGCGTTGATGCTAAAATTTGTTTGGAAAATACAAAGAATGATAATAGGGGTGAAAAGGAAGCAATATTAACTCAAATGTATTTCTGTATTGCATACGAAACAAAAAATAACAAGGGCTACAATAAAATAATATGGTCTTCAAGACCACACTCATTTTGACAGCTTTGGCTATCGTTTTTTACGTCTCACTTTAATCTTCTTTTGATTGCCTTAAACCCATACATTTCCTTCTTATTTATAGACCATTGAACCACCATCTTAGTCAGTTAAGATGCTCCTAAAAGTTTTCACCGTCTTTTAATGGGTCTACAAAGTTTTCTTTGCTTTATCACCAAGCCGCTACACAAACAGCCAATTGCACTGTCTTTCTACTGCCATAACAGAAGGTGCTACAATGAGTGAGAAGAGTGACAGTGGTGATGGTAGAATTGTGTGAATGATGGAGTGGTGGTGAGGAGTTCTAAAGAGAGAGAAATTATTTTTCAACATCCCCCTTTAATTTGTCGCTCTCATTGCTTCTCTGAACTAGATAAATTTGTTTGTTGAAATTGTCTTGGTGATGATGTTCGGTAGCTGGTCTTTTGTGTTGATGAATTTTGACTCTATTTCCTCTTTTTTTTTTGTCAACTCCCTTATAAAATGATGCCTAATTTCTATGTGCTTTGTTTTGTTGTGAAATGCTGGATTTTTGTCGTGGCAATTGTGACATGTTGCCGCAAAAAATTATTGTGGGAAAATTTTTCTTTTGCTGCAAGTCTGATAAAATTCTTTTGAGCCAAACAGCTTCACATGCTGCACTTGATGATGATATATTCGGCTTCTGCTGACGATAGAGCAACAATGTTTTGCTTCCTTGATAACCACAATATGACTTTTGTACCTATGCGGAATAAATAGCTGAAAGTGCTTTTCCGATCATCAATAGAACCTGCTCAATCACTAACAAAAAATCCAACAAGATTAGTATTATTTTCAGAAACATATTTGATAGTGTGTTTCTTTGTTCTTTGAATATATCTCGAAATCCTTTTTGTTGCAATAAAATGTAGTTTACTTGGTTCATTCATGAACCTAGAACAAATACTGACTACATGCACAATTAGATAAACTAAGGATCCGACCAAGCTTCGATAAATCGATGCATCAACTTTTTTGGCACCATCGTATTTTGACAGTTTTTCATTCAATGCCATTGGAGTACTCACTGGCTTGCAATTTGACATTCTGAATTTCTTCAAGAGATCTTCACGAAGACAATTTCAACTAACAAATTTATTCAGTTTAGATAAGCAATGAGAGAAACAAATTAAGGGGGAATGTTGAAAAATGATTTGTTTTTCTCTCTAAAACTCTTTCCCACCGCCAGTCCATCTTCCACACAATTCTACTATCACTGCTATCACTCTTTTCAGTCACTGTAGAACCTTTTGTTGTGGCAGTAGAAAGACGGTGCAATTGGCGATTTGTTTAGCTGCTTGGTGATAAAGCAAAAAAAAACTTTGTAGACCCATTAAAAGAGGGTGAAAACTTTTAGGAGTATCTTAACCAACTAAGATGCGGGTTCATTGGTCTATAAATAGGAAGGATGCACATGGGTTTTAAGGCAATCGAAAGAAGATCAAATTGAGATCTAAAAAAAGTTAGTTAAAAGCGACAAAAAATGAGTGTGGTCTTCAAGACCATATTATTTTATTGTAGCCCGTGTTATTTTTTTTTCGTATGCAATACTGAAATACTTTTGAATTAATACTGCTTACTCCTCACCCGTACTATCAGTCTTTGAGAATGATTGGGGTTTTTACATTTTTGACATTTATATCGGCAATTTCTTGATTCATGCCTTGATTTTTTGCAAATAATACAGTAAGATTCAAATTTACCTTTTTGATTTGAATTTCTATGCTTGTTGAAATTATTTCTTTCCCGTCCTTGGCCTCTAGAAAATTTTTGTCTTCCACGACCACTTTGATAATTTTGAAATGTGCCCCTTTTTTATTTTCTTCAATACTTTTCTTTTCATGAACTGTCATTTTTTACTGAAAAGCTTGTTCCATATTCTGATTTGAAAATCTGCTCATGTGCTTTAAGAGACCCATTTAATTCTTGTAATGAAAATTTGGATCAATCTTTTGATTCTTCTATGGCTGCAACAACATGGTCAAACTTTGCAAGCAGACTTCTTAAAATTTTTTGAACAATTTTTTTATCAGGACTATCATCTCCATAACATCTAATCTGATTTATTTTTCCAGCAACTCTAGTAAAGAATTTCTGAATAGCTTCACTATCTTTCATCATCAAATTATCAAATTCTCTCATTTTATTTTTCTTGTATTCATTTTGCTTTGCTTGCGACCACGAATCAAGTTCGGCTGCATCTTCTAGCACAACGGAAGATTATACAATGAGTGGGAAGAGTGATAGCGGTGATGGTCGAATTGTGTGGAAGATGGAGTGACGGTGAGAAGGAGCTCTAAAGAGAGAAAGACAAATTAGTTTTCAACAGAAAAATCATAGTCATCCTAATGAACAAGCTCATGAAACAATCTAAAGAAAACCAGAAAATGGCTTTTGTTTTTAGGAGTGAGAAAATGCAGTGCATGCAGGTTATGCATTGCAAGAAAGAAAAAATGGTGTTCAATTGAGGCCTTAGGGTTTTTGTTTGACCCCAACTTTGTAGGTGTTTTCATCTTCACCAGTTTAACTATTTAAATCTGAAGTAAATTAGTTTTGATTTCTTAAAGGCATAGATCTAAAATGAGCAGCCAATGTTCACCGAAATGTGGGCTGCTTTGTTCACTAGTTTGAAGATTGTATATGCAAATTTTGGGCTCCTTTATGTATCCTCAAATTGATGAAATGAAAAAATAGGCATGTGTCTCATTTTTCCCAAAACCTTATGAGTTTCAAGGCTAAAGTTTGCCTCTATATGAGTTACTGATATGAATGTATTTAAATAAATGTTCACAGAGGTGTTATGTTACCTCAAAAGGCAAGGAGAGCGAATTCGCCCCCTTGCTGTAATGGTTGATTACCAAGCCTTATGAATATGTTCTGCTATGCAATACCATTAACCAACCAACCGGGTTATTGTGGCTCTTGAAATTATGAAAATATAAAAATAATGCATGAGTTCTTCACAACCGATCGTGTTTTCCTGTATGAAAGATAACTGGAAATAAGCAAGTTCATTAGTGCTTACTCCAAGTTCCTTAGAAATGAACATAGCAGCCTTACCAGGTAGGTGAGTATGGTTGGCAGTATGTATAACTTGCACCTAAAAACAACAACAAAAAACGAAAAAAAAAAAGAAAGAAAAAAGAAAAGCCCAGGCCAGCTTCCCATATGTTTCTTACTCATGCTAATATCTAACATGCATACTTTCCAATATTTCATTCACTGACCTTACAATGTGCCTATTCTTCATGTATCTTGAAGTTTACTGGGTCACTAATTCACTATCTCTTGTATGCATTCACTAGTTTTTAGAACAATGTTACTCTTGCAAGATTGCTGCTATGGAACAAATAACAGGCTTCTTTGTTGTGCTCATAATTCTGAAATGTGATTATCTTCTCTTAAACTGGCTTTTGAACAAAGTAAAAATGTCTTGGATGCTTTCATTCATTAGATCTTGTTTGTGTGGGAATTCATCTATCAGTTGCTTTTTTAATCATAGAGCACTGATAGGTACTCATCTAAGTCTCTGTTACATACAGGTGCTTTTTCCGAATGATTCACTGGTGATGATTCTTGCACGCATGATCGGAATGCTTGGTCCTATAGATATGGAAATGCTTGAAATGGGGCAGGAGACGCACAAGTACTTTACAAAGAACTATAATTTGTATCATAAGAATGAGGTTTATTTAATGATCCCTATCTCAATTAAATAGATATAATTAATGCAATCATGAAATATTTCATTGTTTCTTACATTTTTACACTTTTTCTGACTTTAAGATGTAGGGAAGGGTGGCTTTTACCAATCCTTATGTTCACTAGATTGTAGTTTTTATCTTCTCTCTCCATTTATTTGCTTGCTCACTTTTCCTTATGTTCACTAGATTGTATTTTTTATCTTTTATCCCCATTTATTTGCTTGCTCACTTTTTCTATAGTATTAAGACATATTGTGTTATTCTCATTTGTATCAATTGTACGCAGCAGTGAATTACATGGTCTCACTTTTTGAGAATATTTGACATTATTCCCTGATTAATTTTACTGTAACGTTATTCATAAACAACTAAGAATTTTCATGTTATCAAAGCCAAACTGGCATATAGTATCATTTTAGCCATTTTGCTTGGCTCTTCCATACTTCTCTTTTTTCTCTTGCCAAATTCCTGTTTAATCTCTCTTTTAATTATTGGTCAGACCAGATCTTTTGAAAGAGAAACAAGTCCATGGATTGCACTTTGAGACCTATTTTGGGACTTCATGCTTCATTTGGGGAGCCTTCCTCCTCCCTCTTTCCATGACAAGAATCAAACAGAATATGTACTGCATCATGGAGAGCAAAGCCTATGTTTATAGACATCACTGTCATGTACAGAAAAGTAGCAGACAAGGTTCTGTGGCCTTCAAGATTTCTTAAGCAAAAAACTATTCGAGGAGTGGTATCTTCAGAAAATATGGATAGGATGTAAATGTTTTCCATGTAGATGAGAACTGCCCTCAAATTGCACTTCCACCAACGACTTCAGGTTGGAATCATCTCCGTGTTTGTTCACAAAGACTTTGATTTGCTTTGACAAGTCAAGTCCACTTTCTTCTTAAGTACTTAGAAGCTTTTTCAAATGCCTCAAACTTCTCCTTATGAGATACACTCATATGCTTTGTGAGAAATTGTGCACAATGATACTCATTTAAGATTGCCTCCTTAAAATTTCACTGCAGTCATTCAAACTATGTATGACTACTGTGATGTTTACACCCAATGCTTAGCCTTTGCCTCCACATGCGTCTGGCCAATGTTATAGAAGGGGGCTGCCTAAGTGCCTAGGCAGGCGCTTATCATCATGGCCAAGGTGGGCACCTTGGCCCCCTCTTGTTCTTCTTACTTATGTATTCATTGTGTATATAATATATTATATAATTTTATAAATAGTTATAGTACTATATTATATATATTATTAAGCTACAGTTAAGGGGTGGACATGTGTTGCAAGAATAAAAAGAGGCCCTATCTGTAGAGATAACGTAGGGAAGGTCCCTATAAATTGAGGGATTTTCCATAGAGATAACGTAGGGCAGGTCCCTATAATTTGAGGGATTAAGGTAGATAAATCGAATCCCATCTTTATGATAGACAAGGATTCCATAGAAGAAAGAGAGATAGGTACATGGACAGAACATTAAAAAAATATTATATTGATATATATTTTCTTATATATTTGGAAAGAGTGGTAGCATAAAAGTCTTAAAGAATCCCTAAGCTATCAAAGAATCCCTAAGCTATAAGAATCCAAAAGAAATCCCAAATTTCAGGGATTTAGATAATCTTCATGTAGTTATAAAATTCTCTAATATTAAAAACAAAATTACTAAAGAACTCACAGGCCATAAGGTCCAAGGATCAAGGAATTGAGCTGTTTCCTTGGTTCTAAAATTAAAAATCTGACCTGAGGTTGCAAGCATTGAGCTCTTGACCTGGATGAACCATGCACATGGAAAAGCTGACCTGACGTTGCGAGCATTAGGCTCTCGACCTGGATGAACATGCACACGAAAGAGGTTGCAAGGATTGGGCTCTTGATCCAGACAAACCATGGACTTGAAAGGAAGGGAGAGATCAACACAACCACGTGGTAAATCAGACTAAAAAACGTTACTGAACTTCTGTTCTTCCTTTTAATTTTGTGTTTATGTTGTGTCGGGTTTCACCTGAGGTACTATGATGTTGTACTAAATGTTAAATAGACAGAGATAGAGCGAGAGGTAGATGATGGGTCTCTACTCTCTCTCCTTTTCTCTCTCTAACTTTCCACTTTCTTTTTATGTCATATATTACATAGTGTGTATACATACTAACAAAACCCCCACCCTCACTTTTCTTTTTTAGTGCTCCTCAATCATTAAGTGCCTGCCTAGGTGGCTTCCTCTGTCTTTTTTCTGGGACAATTACTTTCCAAATAGAGTTTTGTGGAAATCGCTATATGTGACCCCTTCTCATTGTTGTCGCATGTTGGTTGCTCTTGAGGAAGTTATAGTGCTATATTGTTATATTATATAAGACGATGTAGTACCGTAGTTTTTGGGATCGAGAGCAGGATTAGGACTGAGAGCAGAGATCATGAAAGGCTAGATAATCCCTATGGTTGGAGGCGCCATCTGTAAAATACATATGTTAGGGATCTAGATACCTAGATATTAGTGATCGAGAACCCGATCTTATAGGAATTTTGATCCCAACCTTTTGGAAATTTTGCTCCCACGCCTCAAAGGGAATGTATAAATGTATATTCTAGGACGATATGTACTCTTTAAAGTTTGGATCTCTTTATTTATAGTCAACAAATTATGCAACGTTATTGAAACTATAGTTGCATGGCTAGCTAGCTATAAATGAATAAAATCATCCATTTGGTTAGCGTCTTGGCCTTTAAGGTTATGATCAAGATCCCGAAATTTAAAAATCGAGATCCCTTTCCTAAAGTGCCAAAGCGAGATTCCGGAGTGGCATCGCCACCTATATTGGGAGATGCCAATAACTATATATAGTACTATAGTAAATTAGTACTATAGATCATATGGCATGTATAGAGTATTAACTATATATAGTACTACAGTAAATTAGTATTATAAATTATATAGTATTCTATAGTACTATTGTAAATTAATAATATATTATAGTGTTATAGTACTATGATGTTTTACTAAAATATTATATAGATAGAATGCAAGGGGTAGATAATGGGTCTCTACTCTCTCCCTTTCTTTTCTCTCTCCAACTTTCTGCTTTCTTTTTGTATTATATAGTATATAAGGCATATATGTACTAATACCTGCCTCCCTTTCTTTTTTGAGGCGCACGGCCATCTCCGCCTTTCTGGACATTGCTTCTTGGTACAATTACATTTCGAATGAAGTTTCATGAAATTAAGTGTAGTGACCCCTTGTCACTGTTATGGCATGCTGGTTGCTCTTGAGGAAGCAATCACACTTTTGCCTCTATAGATTTCTAGAGATTTCTGTCACCATGCTCCCTCAGCGATTCCATGCATGTTGAGATGAGACTGTGGAACCGTCCGCAAGCCTATCTCTACAAACTGCAGTTTTTTATTTATCCTTTCATTTCAGGCTGGTTGCATCTCTACAGACTTTATTCATCTTTTCGTTCAGGATTGGTTGGCTCTGTAAATTTTAGCGAAAAGGCTGCTTTTGGTCTCACTGAAAGCACCATCAATATAGGCTTCTTGTCTTGGATCTCTGCTGGCCCCACTCAACCTGTTGGCCTTTGCAATTCATCCAATGATTTTTCCAAAGAACCAAGCCGTAGATACCTTCATAATGAACAAGTTTCCTTTGATTTCATCTCAAGGGGACTCATCATGGAACTTTAGATATTCAGGTTGCAAGCCCTCATACCATAGTAAAACTTATGGAATGTGCAAGTCAGATATGAAATACATATAACAAAATAAAGTTAAGGCCAAGAAGCGGACACAAACATCAATCGCTCCTTGAGACTTTGAAAAGTTCCATTTAAGCAAAACTAGTGCAAAACTATTACAAACGTCATGTAGTATTACATGAAACTGAGAACCTTAAAGATCTAACATGGAAATTTCTATTTTATCACTTGCCAGATACATCCGAATCTGACATTGGGATCGTTGATCCTGGAATGTTTGGCCGTGAAGAGCTTGTTCTGTACATATCCCTGTATGAATGCTCCTGTGATTTCTAGGTTACTTTATCTCTCTAGATTGGCATCCGAACACATCCGCTGTCTTCTTTGAGCTGGTTCAGTTACCATAACCGATTAATACACTTCAATCCCAAAGCTTGGTCGACTTGCCATCCCTCTAGAATACCACACTTCAGATTCGAAGCTCGGTTGATTCCATCCCTCCGGAGTAGTACACTTCAAATTCACAGCTCGATCTTCTCACAATCCCTCCTTGGAAATTATTGCAATCACTATCCCTTTCACATTTTAGGCCAGTTAGATCGGGTAACTTGTATTACATAGTTTCTTGACCAATGTTTAAGACTGAACTATTTAAAGATATGTCGGTGCGGACCACAAGATGGAGATTGCTCGAAGACTGTATAAAGCATGAGGGCTGCCCTTGCATGAAAGTATGCATAGATAAGGCTCATGATCATGTTAATTGATAACTTAGAAGTTACTCGTCATGGATTGAATTTCAAAGTTAAATGGTTGAATATTTTGGGATGCATCTCTTTGGTGTGTTTATGATCCGATATCAAGTAGTTGTCCCTTTTTGTTTCAGGAGACGAATCAATTGGAGCACATAATCCCTGTAGAGTCCTTACTTTCAGACCACCTGGTCGTTGCTGATGACCAATTCATTGAATTCATCAGTGAGTTGCTTCAAGTTAATCCACAGAGACGGCCCACTGCAAGAGAAGCATTAGAGCACCCTTGGCTGTCTTGCTTTTATGGACCTGTGTCTTATTGAGAGAGAGAGAGAGAGAGAGAGAGATCCCTTAGGAATGAGGGATTTTCTTTACTGTATTAATTAGTAGGTTTACAAATTGTCATAACATCTCTATTTTTTTTTTCCTTCTTTTTAACATTGAAAGGGAAAGTGTAAGAATTACAGAGTTGTGTTCTTGAGTAGTGTATAGCAGGGGTTCTACGTGTGAGTTGTTTGAGCTGCAATTTTCGGGGCATTTATATTGGTTTTTTCTGATTCAAACTTTTTTCCTGTTGTATAAATGAAATTTGAGAAATTTGAAAGTGCATCTTACAATTTGTCCTCACTAATCTCTGCTTTTATTTGATTTGTCTATTTTTCCATTTTTCCTTTTTTTTTTTTTTGTTTGTAGAATAATGATTCTTGGTATGTGGATAGAGCGTTTGCTTCATGTATGTTTCTTAATACTGTAAAGGGCTGCAAAATGTAACATAGATTTATGAAAGAAAAAGTTTATCTAAGGTCGAGTTTAAAATGTAGAATTAAGGTGCGCCTCTAAAATCCTTCGAAAAAAGTTTGTTTTGATGTTGGAAAAATACATTTCGACATTGAGATGTATGGATGTAGGAAAAAAGAGATTTCAAGTCTTAAAACTAATATGTTTTGGAACATATTATCTTGAAGGTCTATGTTCAAAATTTTCATGTGTTTCTAGATCGGCTTGTTTTGATTGTTTAAAATTACAACCTTATACAAATCACACTTTTTACAAAAATCCTCCAAAGTATTAATAACAATAAACCAGGTAAGATTTAAAATAGAGGCATCAGATCTTTCCCAAACAGAGTCACTTGGGATTTAGGCTAAGCAGCATTCAATCGAGAGAAAATCTTGACCATAGAAAGTCACGAGTTGACCCACTGTAACGGATGGTGAGGTTGTTCTTGATGACCTCAAACTGAAGGGAGTACTCCATCCTCATTTTCTCCTGAACTTTTACGTTTAAAAACTAGTATTTAATGAAGGAAAAAGTTTATGTAAGGTTGAGACTTGGAATAATCAAATTAAGGCGCACCTCAAAAATTTAATAAAAGAGGTTTCGATGTTGAAAAAATTTCTAATCAATCATCTCGACTTCAAGACGACGTGAAAAAAAAAAGATTTCAAGTCTGGGAATAATGCATATTGTAATGTTTTATCTGGGCTGTCAATTTTCAATAGTTTTAAGTGTTTATAGATCTATTCAATCCACACTATTTTAAATCTTTAAATTCTATAGTTAGAGATTAAAATAAATTTTCAGAGCATCACAAAGATTTTGCTACTAAAAAATATTGTGTCACTGCTATTTAGAGGTACACGTTACTTTGATTGTTTACGGCCTTAGCCTTGTACAAAGTTACAAACCACAACCTTTAATGAATAATATAAAAGGTGTGGTTTCTATAAAGTTGCAATCTTAAAAAATCCATTTAAGGCGCACTTCCAAATTTTAATATAACATGTAATTTTGGTGTAAACATTCTTGGGATTATCTCAAAATTTATTTTCATATCAAATTATAAAATTTGAAACTTCAAAAATAGTTAAAATCAAGTATCCTGGAAACGTACCGTCTAGCTAATGTGTTGCAAGATGCATTATTTTTAGGACTCAAAATCTTCTTTTTTTTTTTCATATTCATACATCTCAATGTCAAGATGATCAATTAGAGAGCTTTTCAACATTAAAACAATTTTTTGATGGATTTTTAGGTGCATATGTGGTTCTTGCATTTTGAGGTTGCAACCTTTTATAAACTTTTTCCTAATGTAAATGCTATGAGAAAGTAAGAAAAGTCGGTCACTCTGTACTATGAAGAGAGGCCAAACTGAAAGAGAAAGAGCAACGAAATTTGAAATATACAACCCTAACAAACAAGGTGGATCCTTTCACCAACTTAACATGAAAATACAAGCCAAGAAGAGAGAGGCTGTAGGGAGTTAGACTTTCCTTATTGTTAAGTCGTTTTCTAGATTCAACGAAGTTGGAACTCCTTATAGGAAAAAGTTCATATAAAGCCGAGGCTTTAAACAATTAAATTAGAACCTACCTCAAAACTTTCATTAGAAGATGTGGTTTTAATGTTCAAATATCATCAAATTGATCATCTCGACATCAAGATGCGTAGACATGAGAAAAAAATGGATTTCAAGACTTAGAAATAGTACATCTGGTAACACATTTGTGGACCGTCAATTTCAATATTTTCAAATTTTTATAGATCTGCTCGATCTATAGTATTTTTAAAGTTTTAAATTTTAAAATTAAAAATAAAATATATTTTAAGGCTATCCCAAAGGTTTTTAGTATGGGAAAAGTTTATATAGAGCTGAGGCGAGGCTCTAAACAATCAAATTTGAGACGACCTCAAATATTTCACTAGAAGATGTTGTTTTGATGCTCAAATATCTTAAAATTGATCATCTCGACATCAAGATGCATGGACATGAGAAAAAAATGGATTGCAAGTTTTGGAAATAGTATATTTTATAACGCATTTTTGGACCGTAAATTTTCAAGATTTTCAAGTTTTCATAGATATGTTGATCTACATTATTTTTGAAGCTTTAAACTTTATAAATAATTATAAAAATATATTTTAAGGCTATCACAAATATTTCAAATATTGAAACCACATTTCTCAATACTATTTGATTGTTTAGAGCTTAGGCTCTATACAAACCGCACCCAGCATGAGAAAAGTTTATAGATTTATATAGAGTCGAGGCTCTAAACAATCAAATTTGAGTCCATTGAAACCACATTTCTCAACACTATTAGAAGGTGCACTTTACTTTGATTGTTTGAATCCTCGGCTCTATACAAACCACACCCCTCTTTATATATATATTTTTTTGTTTCTCTCTCAAGAATCCAAGAATTTGTGAACACCTTCATCGTCAAAATCGGAAAAACGCATAGGAATGGCTGACCAGTCGGTCTTCGATAGATTTCCAGTTTGACCAATTCCTAGGAAAGCTCCCAAAGCCCCCCTCCTCTCTCTCTCTCTCTAACTTTTCCAAGGATTGCTCCCAAACCTCCTCTCCCTCTCTCTCTCCCCTCTCTCCCTAAACATAAAATGTAGGCAAAGATTATCAAACGCCCTCATAAATTTGTATTTCCACTCCCACCCAATTACTGGCTTCAATTATACACATGTCCCAAATGATAATTAGGGAATTTATCAAATTACACATGAGAAATAAACAATTTAACGCCTCGCATATGTCTTTTAATTTCTTTTCAAAATACCCATGATAATTCACATGATCTTATGTTTGAATAGTTGCAAATGGATAAAAATGCTAAATACTCAATTCTGATAGGTATTTTGATAAAGAGGATGCGGTTTGTATAGAGCCGAGGCTCTAAACAATCATAGTAGACAGTAGAACTCACTTCACTTTCAAATACTGTTGAAAAATGTGGTTTCAATAGTAGAAATCTTGATGATCGACTAAAAAATACATTCTCCACGACTGCAACCTCGATATCGAGATGATCAATTAGATGTTTTTTCCAACATAAAAAAAGACACCTCAATTTTACATTTACATTCGAAGGTGTCAACTTTACATTTGTGTGTGGACTTTACATAAACTTCCTACTGGACAAAAGAAACATGACTTATTAGGTCAAATTCAGTGACTTCAAATATAACTCAGTTAAGAGGGAAATGGTCATAATCATAATAAGCTTGGCCTTATTTTTTCCTTCTTTCTGTGGTTGGTAAGCAACCTCGTGTGAGGTACGCACTTGCAATTCCTTTTCCTTACCTTGTATTCTTCAAGTTTTGGGGATGACACGAAATTTAGAAGGAAGAGACATTAGGACACTTTTAAAAGTAAAATACATGCATCCTATCAATGAGAATCGAGTGCAAAAATGTTAGAATTAAATTTTAAATTTTTTTTTTTCGAACTTTATCATTCACGGTTGAATTCATATTTGATTATTAATTGTAATTATACCTTATACCATAAGTAAATGGTCTTTTAGTGTACAATTCTCAAGTGATGATTCTATAAGGTCAAGCGCACATGACTTCCAATGTGTTTGATGTATCTAGGTTTGTCAATTCGTGCGATACTTCTATCAAGGCGATCACAGGATGGGGACTATGTTTTGATGGGCATCGGACCCGCACCACTAGACTTGACCATCCTCAAGATGAACGGTCCAAGTTCACTAGGCACATGGAAAAAGCTATTTGTGCATGGAATCATTCAGCCTGTATAAGTTAATAGCTTGGGATAGATGCATTCATGCACACACGCGTACACAAATATGTTAATGAAAAGCTGAGGCCTTTTCAAGAATGGGGGACATCCTTGTTCCCCCAAAGAAAGTTGAAACTGACTTATAACAATCTAAGCAATTTTAAAACAACTTGAATCATTTTGTCTTGAGGGAGGGTCTCCCTTTCCATGGTGTTTGAAAATAGGATTCGGGCCCTGACTTGCTGGTTGTCTGATTCGGACTCTTCCGGTTTGCCTAATACAATTGTACTAATTAATTTATAAGAAATGAAATTTATAATCAGCAAACCGAGAAAAATCAAGTGATTGTAGGGGTTTTCGTTTTGGAATTGTCCACCTCACGGTCCCGATCTAACTGGGTTGATTTCCAGTTTGAGCAACTATTTTTTATCACAAGTCTAAAGTTCAAAACCAAGGCAAAAACAACAACCTACAATCACATGAAGTAGTGAACACCACCATATCATAACATCAAAAGAGAAAAAGGAAAATTGGAAGGATCATTATGTGCTAAAAAATCCTATAGGTCCAGTAAAGAATAATGGTTGTTCGGCAGTACAGGAGGCAGTACGGTACTTGATAAAGAACAATCCGACAATAGGCCCATGCGGTCCGGCAACAAGTCCAAAGTGCGGTCCGGCTATATCAAAAAGCGGTCCGACATTTTTTTAGTTTAACGGGGTCTAACAATATTAAAGAGCGGTCTGATATTTTTTTTAGTTTAACGGGGTCCGGCAATATCAAATGCCGGTCCGGCAGCACATATATACCTATGTGAATGTCTGGCCAAAATTAAATTTTTATGTACAAAAAAAACTGTTCTTCTCCAAAAAAAAAAAAAAAGGGACAATTTTTTACTTATGAGGTATTGCTACAAAACTCTATTTCGGGGAAAAACGTGAAAAAAAAATACGTTTGGTTGGGGTAACTTCATAAAAAGTCTCGTCTTGGGGTTATTTGTAATAGTCTCTTTTTATTATTGGATCCACGCTTTGTTCTGTCTTTGCTCTGTTCCCTTCCCCTCAACTGGAGGAGGGGCACCGCATTCGCAGGCCTCTCTCTCTCTCTCTCAACAATCAATCCTCTCTCTCTAAACAATCAGTCCTCTTTCTCTCTCTAAACAATCAGTCTCCTGGATTTTCACATCTTGCTTCCTATATCTCTTTTCCCTCTCTTTATAATTACTCTCTTACATCTTCTCTCTACAGCTATTGTTTTTCTCTCTCTTGCTGTCTCTTTCTCTTTGTGGTTTTTTGGGCATCTGGGTCTGGTGATCCATGGCCCTGGTGGCACAGGGCGAGGTCGTTTCCCCTCGGAGCCTCCAAATATGGAGAGGCTTTCTAAATTGGTTGGCTTTCTTCTTCCAAATTCTTCTGCAACTTTTGCAGGGGACCCCAACTTTAGCTCAAATTTTTGGCTTCTTTGGACTTAGACCTGCTCTTCTCTGTGATTCTCCTCCTCCTTTTAAGCCTCTCCCTGTTGAACCTACGTTGCCTGAGGAGGAATTCCCCGCTTGTGCTGAAGAGGAGACCTTTGATAAACTTACGGTACAATTAATGGATGCGGTTAAGCCGATGGGTTTGTTTAGAATTTGAAAGATTAGTTATTGTGCAATTGCTGATGGGCTTCTCTGAAAAATGATCTTTTTGTGTGTGGATCAGTTGCTTGTACTTAATGGGTTGGTCTTATTAAAGGTGTGGGTTTTAGCTGAATTTTATGGTTGGGTTGTGTTTTTGGGTATTTTCTTGATATGTTTTTCACTTGGGTACTTTCCTTCTCTTTCATTTTCTTTTTATTTTTTTTGGGGATATGTGTTAGTTTCATCTGATTGCACTTATGAAATTGATGATTTCTGTTTTTACCAATGGAAAAAATTCTCCTTTTTTTGTTAGACCTAAGTCATGGGGTTCTTTGTGACGAATTTGTTTACTAATGTTAGGATTTTTTTCATTTATAAGTAACTTCTATTGATTACCAAGAGAACATCATATGATACTGCAGATATGAGTGCTGGAATTGTTGAATGGAGGGGGTTATCAAGGTAATGTGAGATTGTTCCCAGTACAGAGTGCGTCTTTGACTACTATCTCTGTAAGCAGAGATTTTGTGGCCTTCTTCGAAGTCCATAGGGACCTAATCAAGGAAACTAAAAATGAGTTCTCTTTCTGTCCAAAGCTTCCTTCTAGTTTTATTGCACATGAAAAATTGGGACTGATCTCTTAGAAGGTTATAAATCTCTAGGAGGTACTGTTTTCCATTTCTAATTTGTTGGCAATACATTGCTATTCTGCAATACATCCTCAATGGTCTTGAAATGCTATGAAGCCATGTTATAGCCTGACAAATGGCTAATTAGTTGTGGGGATTGGGTAGAGAGCTTGGGCGATGGCCAACATATTTAGTTAATGGTAGATCACTACCTAGGGACTTCTAAGCTTAATAGAGGGGATTGTGTATTGAAAAGTAGATGTCGTTCTTTGGGAGTTAATTGGAAGACGAAAAAAAGAAAAGGAAAAAATATATCTTTGTTTCGGAGTCAGGGTTACAAGGAAAGTCTCTGCAACTTCCTCATGTACTTCGTGACTTTGTATGAAATGCTAATATCTGTTGTAGATGATTAGGAGTGCATCTAAAGAAATTTCCTATGGAGAGGTATCTGGCACCCTAGTTCCACAGCTGGTCAAATGGACAAAAGCTTGTAGGCTTTAAAATATGCAAGGTGGTTTCGGGATTCAGAGAATGAAAGAGGCAAATCGGACTTCTTTCGGGAATTAAGTTTGGAAGATTGAGGTGGTGGCCAATGGCCGATTGTGTTTCTCTTTGGGATAAGTAAATGGTTATTATAGGCAAGTACAGACGTCATGAGTATGGAAATGTACAAGAGAATATTGTACAATTGTACTATTTTTTATGTGTGTAGCATGTCATCTTTTGACTTACAATTGTCTTTATTGACTTTGTAAATAGCACATACAGGTTGTGTTCCATTCTGTAACCCTATAAGAATAGGGCTCTTATACACACATATGGTGTGTTCTATAATACATCTTCTATAGGGGTTTGAGGCCCAAAAATATCGAAATTACAAATATTCTAGCATGATATCAGAGCTGGTTAGTGTTTTAATCAGATCAATTGTCTTAGTCCAATCGAAAATTGTTGCTATTCGGCTCTTTGCCACTCCCAAGGGGGGCCCATCTTTTCAAATGAATAGTCACTCCCAACTTAGGTGATACTAAAAAATAAATTAATGGTTAATCGAAGCAAATATTGCAAAAAGTGTAAAAAGTAAGTGTCGCCCCTGTGGACCACGCTATTTGGGTGAGTGGCTGTGGGATTTTCAGAGGGGGCAAAAAATCTTAAAGAGAGACTGAGAGAGTAGATCTACGAGGGCTTTCCTCGCTCTGGTTGTGTGAAAGCTAGAGGGCCAAATGGCAGAGGGCTGAATAACGAATGGCTGATCTGACTGGTTGAGGGCGATGGGTAGACGGGTGAATAAAGGCAGATCAGAAATCAGAGTGGCGAATTCTAAAACAGCAGTTTCGGATCTGGCTGAGACAAGATTGATCCAATAAAAATACTAACCTACTCTGATATCATGTTAGAATATATGTAATTTCTGTATTTCTAGACCTTAAGCCCCTATAGAAGATGTATTACGGAACATACCTTATGTGTATACAAGAGCCCTATTCTTATAGGGTTACAGAGTGGTATATAGCCTGTATAGGCTATTTACAAAGTCAATAAAGATGGTTGCATGTCAAAGATGGCATGCTATGCAAGTCAAAAATAGTACAGCTGTACAATATTCTCTTGTATATTTCCACAATGAGAGATTAGAGAGTTGAGTGAGTTGTCTTGTATATTTCTACAATGAGAGATTAGAGAGTTGAGTGAGTTGTCTTGTATATTTTCACAATGAGAGATTAGAGAGTTGAGTGAGTTGGTAAGCTTTATGGGGCGTTTGACACTTGGAGGATTTAAATGCTACAGATAAAGCAAGCAGGAAACATCAAACAATTTCCCACAGGAGAATGCAAACGCAGCAAGACACGAGACAAGCAACATGATCTATATTCTGTGAGCCTAGTGTCTCATTCTGATGCATGTTCTAATACAATATCATAGAGCGCTGCTTGTGCACATGTGAAAGCCAAACATGCTTTCATTATCAAATATTTTCTTCAGAGAGTTTTCTCGTCATGGGATTTAACGGGAAGCTGCCACTATTTCATTAATGTTTTGATATTGGGTTCCATGAAGGAATTCACACATCAAAATACATGGAGTGAAGATAAAGTAACATTGATTCCAAAACCACTAGGATATACAAAGACAAAAATGTCAGTAATATAGCCCCCTCACTAGCTTAAAGAGAGTGCATAGAGTGGGATAAATGCCTCTGTGGGCCACAATATACTATAGTTTTTGTACTACGGGGCAAGAGGTGAAGTGGTGGCCAACTATATATTAGGACTTTGTCTGTTATTGAGATGCTAATCCAGGATGGATTGTTATTACAGATGTACTGTTGAGTAGATTCCCTTGCTTTTTGTTCTCATTTTCCTTGCTTGTTGTGCTTTTATCAGTATGAAAACATGTGTGTGAGAAATGAGGTCAGAAGACCTAAAATGGCAAATATCAACTAGCTGTAATAGTTAGGGAGGCCTAGAGAAGCAAGAGGACGTTTTATTTGTCACAGTTCTGGTAAATTTTCTTTCAATGCTTCTTTATTGTTAGTGGAAAACTTTGTGCATTGTATGGACCTTCCACATCCTGCAAAGATTTTCGTTAGATGGTCGCATCAGTTTATATCACAACTGCGTTAATACTTCCTGATTGGAAATTCAGGCACTGTAAAGCCATGAGGTTTCAACCTGTAAATGCACCACTCATTCCCCTGATTGTTTAAATGGTTAATGGACATCTAGTTGTCTATAATTTCCCTTTGGTGTTATCTTTTTCAAATTTCAATTAATGATTTTTTACATTGCTCTTTGTATTCTTCCATGCTCCTAATACATCTTCTGTTATGTTTCCATGTTCCCCTCCACTTACATCACAAACTTTATCAGAATTTTATTAGTGAAATATTTATCAGTTGAAACAGTGCTGATTATCAAACAAGTTTGCTATGTTATGATTAAGCTATATTACATATGGCATAGTGATTTTATGGATAGGATATTGTGGGATCTCTCATCATTCTTCTTCCTCTCTTGTTATTGTTGATAAAGATGAGCATGCAGGTGGTGCTTGATTTGGATGAGACACTAGTTTGTGCTTATGAGACGTCCAGCTTGCCCATTGTTGTTCGTAATCAAGCGACACAAGCTGGGCTCAACTGGTTTGAGCTGGAATGTGTATCTACAGACACAGTGAGTTCATTGCTCATTGTACTCTTCCTTTTTCATTAGTTCCTTTATTCTCTTTGTGAATTATAGCCTACACATTATGCATGTGCTGTATAATTCACAGTCAGGCCACCTACCAGTTGTTCTTATGACAGACCATGGATATCAATCAGTGGACCACCTGAAATTACCCATGTTCATATAATATTTTATCTCCACTATCCATGTTGATAGGAGATGATGGATGGTCTTCCTGTGTATTTTAAAGTATACACATAATATTTGTTGGATACTCCCTTTTCTCCTTTATAGCTTAGTATTGATTTTGAAAGATATTATGGTTGTAAGGAAGGTGACGGAAAACAGAAAGTTAATCATGTGACGGTGTTTGAGCGTCCTGGTTTGCATGAGTTCTTAGCCAAGCTCAGTGAATTTGCTGAGCTCATCCTATTTACTGCTGGCCTTGAAGGTTTGATATCCCACCTTTTTTTTTTTTCTTCATACCTAGTGTCTTCTTCTCTTCTCATGCAACGTGCTTGCTTTATTTCTTCGTTTCTTTTTATGATGGTATATAAGCTGCTCTTTTATTGTTGCTAATTGTAGCTTATGCAAGACCCCTAGTTGACAGAATAGATCTTGAAAACAGATTTTCACATCGGCTTTATCGGCCTTCAACAACTAGCACGTAAGAATTTGGTTTGAGATGGGAATATTAGCATGTATGCTTTTAGTTTAAGCCTTGAAAATTTTACGAGAGTTGAGACCATCATTTGCTAAGGGGATTCTCTGTGATAATGTTTGTAGACCTTTCAGGCTTCTAGGAATAACCTGTTTGGTTTACTATCTCTTATGTATATAGGAAAAGAAACAGCAGCCGAAATATAATCATGTCTTTATTTTTTCCTTCGTGGTTGACACTTATATAAACCACACCCTAGCCAAAAATAAAATTTGTGTCCATGCACTATCATTAACATGTATTATACAACCAAATGTAACTTGCATAGCAAAATAGAGTAAAATAAGTAATACACATATGAAATACTACAGTTTTTAT